TGGATCGATGGATAGACAGTTGGATAGATGGATGGATGATTGGATGGATGGATGGTGGATCGATGGATAGACAGTTGGATGGATGGATGGATGATTGGATGGATGGATGGATGGATGGATAGATGGATGGATGATTGGATGGATGGATGGTGGATCGATGGATAGACAGTTGGATGGATGGATGGATGGATGGATGGATGGATGGATGATTGGATGGATGGATGGTGGATCGATGGATAGACAGTTGGATGGATGGATGGATGGATGGATGGATGGATAGATGGATGGATGGATGGATGGATGGATGGATGGATGGATGGACAGTTGGATGGATGGATGGATGAATTGATGGATAGAAGGATGGATAATGGTGGATGGATTCACTCTTCCATTTAACTTCAAATACTACGGTCTAATATTCCATTGTTCTGGTATCTTGATTCAAACTCCTTTACCCTGAAAGGCTCAGAGGAGTTCTGCAGATCCACACTCGCGATGATCCAGCTGTCAGATGGGACCTGGCTGCTCCACAGCGGCTTATCGAAGCTCCTCCCTTCACTTCTCTGCAAAACCTCCAGGTGTCCTGATTCTGCGATCTGATAGACGAGCCTCATACAGCTCCACTCTTGGTGCTCCAGAGGCGGACTCAGCAGGATTCCTGTAACCTCCTTCTTTGGTTCGATACCTGAACCCGAGCTGCCCTCCATGTCATCGTTAAGGGCTTCCACTGCAACAAAATGTCCTGAACAGGAGAAGATAAGAAGGATACATGCAAAAAAAAAAAACTGAGATCTCATTTACAGCATTTTTATGTAACCTTATAACTGTCAAATTAAGTCTGCAACATCTTTAAGCAATGTGCACAAGGATGGCCAGGGAGAAGGTTGAACACAAGAAGTGGAAAAAATGCACATTACATTTGTGTTACAAAAAAACTGAAAACTCCAAAAGTCAAGATAGGCTACAATCTCTAAACAAAAAACAGATGATTGCTGAACCACAGCAAATAAGCAGAAAAATATTTGACTTAAAAAATCCAAGCATCTTCATCACGTCTTAGTCAGATGCTAGAGAACTGTGCACCAGAGCTTATACTGTTCCTCCTCATTCTGCATTCCTGCTCACCTCTTTCCCACTGTACCTTCCATCAGCAAGCCAAGGCCTACTTGAGCCCCGTTTATCCCACAAAATGCCAGATAAAGTTGTGACTGAACATCATCCTGTCAGCTGGCGACCGATAACTTGATGTCCTCCATTTAATTCTCATTAACAAAGCCTAAATAGATAAAAAGTCAGAATTCAAATCTTGAAGAGAACAGTTATTAGCCTAAAGGTGCTTAGT